TATCTATCTATCTATCTATCTATCTATCTATCTATCTATCTATCTATCTATCTATCTATATCTATATGTATATACACACACACACACACACACACATACATACATATACACACACACTGTCCCAAAAATCTTAGTGCCATTTTAAGCTATTAAAGGTTAAGACTTCTCTCCTCTCTCCCTTCTCTCTTTCTCTCCTCTCTCTCTCTCTCTTTCTCTTCTCTCTCTCTCTCCCTCACTTTCACTCCCTTTCTCTCTCCTTCTCTCTTCTTCCCTCTCCATCCCTTTCTCTTCTCCATGTAATATGAAAATATTACATATATACACAATATACACTTAAACATACATACATATACTTACATGCATGTACTTGTATATCAAATATATATGTATACATACATATAAATGTATACTCTGCATATATTTATATTACATATGAGTACATGCATACACACACATGCACACCCACACTCACACAAACACATAGAGATATGGGAAAATATAGGATGTGTGCAATGAAACATGATAAAGCTTGATGAGTATGTGAGGAGGAATGGGGACAGATAGAATTGAAGACCAGTTATGAAGGGCTTTGAATGCCAAGGTAAAGAAATTGTACTTTATTTGTTCCATTTATTGAGGCGCAGAAAGGGTTTAAGCTAGTAGAAATTTTAAAAAATCTTTTTTGCCAAGTGAAAACTCATTTAGAATTGAATTTCAATGTTTGTTGGAATCGCCCCTGGAAAGGTGATTCTGTACCTACCTTACTTTCTGTCTACAGATAAATAAGGCAATGACCGCCACCAGCATGCCAATTAGGAACAGTCCAGCACTCACTCCTTCAATAACTCCAAACAAAGGCTCTAAGAGAATCCAAATGAAATAAAACAAAGCCCAATGTGGGAATTACTTCAAAGAAAACAATAGGGAGCAATTCAATCCTCTCTCTGGAGGAAATTTTGCTTTTGAGATAGATTAGAAAATGTACCTGCACCCATGGTTTAACCCTGTGAATGTTGGGAAGGTCTATGATTTCATGGCATAAGCAGTTCCCAAGGTGGGAACTCCCTCTGCCAATACAGATCACAATCTGCAGCTCAGTGAGACATGTCCTAGAGAGCTGCTTAATACACTGAGAGGTTATCATCTGCCCACAGTAACCCTGCTGGTAAGTGTCAGAGGCAAGATGTGAATATGGCTTTCTGACCCCAAGGCCAACACTCTATCAACTATACCACACTGTCTCTCTGTGTCTAAATAAACAGATGAAAATGACTTATTCCAGCTTTAACCATTATGGTAGTCGACAGATGGGTCATTTTGTTTCTGAGACTGGCTACAGATTTTTAACTTTAGAAGCAGTGTGTGTTTGAACTCAAAGTTCTTTGGGATAAGTGCCAACATTCAGTAGAGCTTATGTAGTTTGTCATTTCCATTAAGACCTATTTTGGTATTTTATCATGGACATCACTTGGGTTCTCAAAGACCACTCCAGTTGAATGCAAATTTTGATGGGTTCCAAGCCAGCTAGAAAGACTTTTGTTAGGGCCCTGGTGATGGACTGCACACCTGTTAGGGGCAGCTAGGTAGTGAAGTGGATAGAATACCGGACTTGGAGTCAGGAAGACCTGAGTTCAGATCTGACCTCAGATACTTCTTGCTTGTGTGACCCTAAAGCAAGTCATTTTACATGTTTTCCTCAGTTTCCTCAGCGGTAAAATGGGATAATAACAATATCTACCTCACAAGGTTGTTGTGAGGATCAGTAAGATAATATTGGTCAAAGTACTTAGCACAGTGCCTGGCACATAACAGGTGCTATGTGAATGCTATTCCCCTCCAACCTCCTATTATCTAAGGACTTACCAAGCTAAGTATGGAGTGGCTTATCACCAGGTTGGCCATAAGTCGTTGAATTTTTCAGCCATACCAACTCTCAAAGACCCTCTGACAAAGTTGTAGAGGAATTGGGAGCAGTATAGGAGGAAGGAGAAAAGACACCGATAAAATTCTTGGTCCTTGAGGTATTTTGAGTTAAAGCATGTCATTTGTAAACATTGTAAAAGCAATTGGGTACTAAGCTACAAATGAAAAGTGATACCCAGAAATACAGTTTTTGGAAACACAGTAAATTGGAAGAGGACTCTTTCCCTCCAGTATAAACAAGTTTTAGGAATGGCTATATGAATAATAACTTCTGAATAATGATTTGTGAATAATGATTTTCAAAGTGGGTATTTTTAAACCTTGGATGTTTTTTTTTAATAATGACGTTTGTCTTTTCAATCTTCATAATAATAACTAACATTTCTTTGGTGCCTTTAGATTTAGTTTACATACAAAAGAATGTTCCCTTCAACCACTCTCTTAAGTTGGTAGGGAAGGTCATATTTGCCCCATTTTACAAATAAAGAAACTGAGGCTCAGAGCTATACAGCTAGTGTCAAAACCAAGGTTCTATGTGCACACATGATTTCTACCATTCTCATTTCCCAAGCCACGTGTGTTTTTTTTTTATCAAAAATGTTTCAAATAGGAAAAAATGTATTTGCAAAGTCTCTACTTAACATTAAATCATAGCAAACATGTCCAAATCCTCTTAGCTTCATTCTAATCCCCATATAGAATTGAATAGTAAGGTGATTATCTCTGCATTTGGCATAAATAGCCACTAGGGCCTGTGATGCTGAGTCATTTTCTAAGAGTTATAAACAGAAGGAAACAACCTCTAATTGCAACAAGGGAGAACCAGGTTAGATACTGAAAAGGACTTCCTGAATACTAATAGTAATGTGAGACTGATTTCAGAGAGAAACTATGGCAATCTCCTCCCCTGATTTAAGATGAAGAATCAGACAATCATCTGTGTGCTTTCTTCTGGATGTCCTAGTTCATCTGAGAACTGAAATAAAAGACTTCTTGAGCTATCTTCTAATTCTGTGATGCTGTATTTAAAGGTGGGTCCAAATGCAAAAGTGGATAAAGGAATATGAGAAATGTGGCTTGGTCAGACCAGACCTATTTAGCCCATGATTCTGTCTCTGACCATGGTACCCGGGAATTTTTTTTTTTCAAAGAATATATCATTTTTTTTTCTAGAGATTAGGGAATTGCCCCAGACATTCCAAAGTTCCCCTTATTAAACCACTCTAAAAGAATCTTTTATGAACTTATCTGAAGCCTTCTGGAAGTTACATTTGCTTCCTACTCTTTAAGGAAGTTCTTCGTTCCACAAAATCTCTTTCTACACTTCAAAGGTTTTTATTTCCAGTACTAGCCTCCTAGTATTTGGTAAATGACTATTGAGAGTCACTCTACTCATACCTCTTTCATATATTTTTATCATATGCTTTCCTAGCCTTCATCTTTCTAAACTGACAAATACTAATCTTTACCTTTAGCTTTTATGTGCAGACCATCCTAATCTCCTTTTAATTTCACGGATAGCATAGTGTTTTTTGAAATTAAATTAAATGCCTAAGGAATTCCCTAAATAAATTAATTGACTAGATATCCCTACTGAGCACTTAGGGTTAGTAGATGATATTTTTGTGGTAAGGTTGAAAGAAACTTAATCTCACCTGATTCGGTAGTGATGGGTAAGGAGAAAAATGTATCTGAGAAGAGCGGCTCTGTAAACTCCTTCAGGTTCTCATCAAATAACTGAGTGAAGGCTCGAATGCTGATTCTGAAAAGAGGAAAAGTTGATTTGATACTTGGAAATATCTGTGATTTCACTGGTATGGGACCTACTCCCCTCCAGTGACATAACTAGGAATCCCTCCACGTTTCATATGATAATCTGGATTCATAACATTGCCTGGTATCCAACTTTCTAGTGAGAATCTTCTCTGGACCCATCACAGTTGGTAATGGGGAACCAATAAATCTCTACTAATGACATATTTCTGACAGTGCAGATTTGAGGTTGAACACAATAAGAATAGTTGAAAAAATTTTTGATGAAAATATAGCATCCAATTTATTAATGGCTTTCTTCCCATTTGTTTGCATGAGTTACGGATTTGAGAAGTTCCTTATTTCCTTCATCACCATCAGCAGCAACAGCAGCCTATTATATGCAGGACATTGTGATAAGTGATGAAGATAAAGGGGCCCTGCTCTTGAGGGGCTTATACTTTATTTGGGAAGGTAGGACATGATCACAAAATTGTTAAAGACCATACAAGGAGGAAGAAGGAAGACAATCCAGGCAGGTAGGAATAGCATCAATTAATCAACAAGTATTTATTAATACCTCCTATGTGCCAGGCATTGTTCCAGGCACTAGTATAGTGGTTGGACGACGAATAGATCAATATAACTGGATCAGAGGGTTTATAGTAGTGAGAGACGATAGAGAAGTACATATATGATAGATTGTGGATAGCCTTGGATCCTTGGGCTGAGGAGTTCACATTTTATCCTTAAAGTAATGGGGAGATATTAGAGATTTTTAGGATTTGCGCAAACTGGCATTTAGGAAGATTAATACAGCAGTAGATTAGAGGTGGAGGGAATGGAACTAGGGAGATCATTTTGCAACTATGCTAATAGTCCAGATGGGAAGTGGTTAGGGTCAAGAGGAGGGTAGTACCAGTGGGGAGGGAGAAGATGGGAGAGATGTGAGAGGGGTTACAGAGGAAGAATTAGCAGGACTTAGTGACTGACTGGACATTGGAGGAAGAGGAGGTATGAGTCAAGGATGACTGATTGACAATTGATAAGTACCAATAAAGGTACTATTAATAGAAACTGGAATGTGTAGAGTCAGATAGGAGAAAAGATAATGAATTTGGTTTAAGACAGAATCTCGGCATTGGATGAGACTTCAAAGGTCACCTAGTTCAACCCATACTTTTTTTTAAACTATTTTTTTTCTTGATTTCTTTTCTTTTCATACCTCTTTCCTTTTTTTTTTTCCTTTTTGGTGTGGCAATCGGGGTTAAGTGACTTGCCCAGTGTCACACAGCTAGTGAGTATCAAGTGTCTGAGACTGAATTTGAACTCAGGTCTTTCTGACTCCAAGGCTGGAGCTCTATCTACTGTGCCACCTCGCTGCCCCCCAACCCATACTTGACAAAAAAAAAATCCCTCTATATAACATCTCAACAAGTCAGTCAGTCAAAAAAATTTATTAATTTATTTACCTACTATTAAGAGTGAGTGTTTGGGGATATAAAGTAAGGCAAAAGATAGTTCCTACTTTTAAAAAGCTTATAGTCTAATGGGAGGGACAAAATAAATCATCATTAAGATTTTGCCAGATGTGAGGGAGCCTCCTGAATGCCTCCTGAAGCAGCCCCATTCCACTCTGGATGCCTGTAAATAATAGGAAGTATTTCCTTACAATCAGCCTAAATTTGACTCTCCCCAGCTTCCAGTCATTGTTCCCATGGTTGGCCCCTGGGGACAAACAAAATAAATCTATTCTCTCTTCCAGATAATACACCTTCCAATACTTAAGGTGGTTATCATATCCTCCCCTGTATCTTCTCTTTTCCATCCCCAGTTCTTTCAACTGATCTGCTGATACAGTTTCAAGGTACTTCATCATCTTGGTCACCCTCTCCTGGACTCTTTCCAGCTTGTCAATGTCCTTCCTAAAATGTGTCACCCCGGCCCTGAACAGATGTGGTCTGACCAGGGCAGAGTTGAGTTAGGGGTAACAAAGGAACATCTAAGTGGAAATTTCAGCGGCCAGTTGGAAGTACATGGCTAGAAAACTGACTTGGAAGCAGTTCAATTAAAAAAAAAAAGACACACCAAAAAAGGGGAAAAAATCTGGTTGTTTTAGTGAAGCCAAAATACGATGCAGCTGCTAAAAAAAAAATAAGCTGCATTGAAAGAAGCCCAGTAACCAGACCACAGGAAGTCATAATCCTTTTACTCTGGGCTGGTTAGACCACAACTGTTTATTTCTGGGAACCTCATTTTAAGAAGAATATTGACAAATTAGAGAGCACTCAGAAGAGGTTGGGCCAGTATGGTGAGGGATCTGGAAACCATGTGACAGAGGGGAATGGCTGTTGAAAGCTCATCTTTGTCTAACACTTTAAAGTTTACAAGTAATAATAATACCCAGTGATACTGTACCTGAACATTTGCAAAGTACCTCTCTCAAAACCAACCTGTGAGGGAGGGCAAGACCCATTAGTCTCGTTTTTCAGATAAGAAAATGGAATCACTGAGCAGTTAAAACGACCTATCCATGACCACACAATTCATCTCTGAGAGGGGATTCAAGCCCAGATCTCCTGACCCAGGTCTAGCATTGTCTACCCTATCGATTATTTCAAAAACAATCCTATGAGTGAGAACATATCATTTATCATGATCTTTCTGTCAATGGGGAAATTAAAATGTGACTTGTTGAAGTCATATAGCTTGTAACTGGCAGAGGCAGATTTTCTATCCAGTGCCTTTTCTAGTACCACTATTTCCTCTCAGATTGGCTAAGGAAGGAAGGAAAGTCCTGATGGCTATCTTCAAACAGATGATGATTTGGAGAAAAATTCTGTTGTCCCATACAGAACAATCCAAATGGAAATTACAGGGTGGCAGAATTTGGCTCATCATAAGAAATCATTTTCTAACCACCTAAGAACCAAACAATAATGGAATGGGTTGCCTCATAAATTCAACAATATTTTTATTAAATACCTACTGTAGCCATCAATTAATTAATAAATATTTATTAAATACCTACTATATGCTAGACGTTCTGCTAAGTGCTGGGGATATAAAAAGAGGCAAATGACAGTCTCTCTCCTCAAGGAGCTTATAATCTAATAGGGAAGATAATACTCAAACAAATATATATGAAGCAAGCTATATACAGGATAAATTTCTATTTTAACATTTAATTTAATTTAATTTGAATTCCTACAAGACTGCAGCAACAAGGCACTGTACTAGGCACTGAGGCTGATACAAATGAAAAAAATTATCTACATGGACCTATGCGCATGGAATCTAGTTGTGAACTCTATCAATGGGATAGAAATTCCTGAATTAGATTGGAAATTGGTTGAAATGAACAATAAAGTGTTTTTCAGCTCTAAGATCATCTGATTTAAAGTCTGTGGATAAAGAGCCCCAGAAATAGTCTTAGGGTTATTCTATCCTGAAGAAATAACACTAGATTTAATGTAAGTCATTTGGAAATCAATTAAGTAATCCATTCCCTTAGCAATCTATATTGATTTAGCTAAATGATTAAGATGGTGTGTGTGTCTGTGTGTGTGTGTGTGTGTGTGTGTGTGTAGAAGGAACCATTAAAAAAATCCCAGTAATAGTCAGAACTATAACTTTATAAAGTAATATGGGGGAGGGAGGATATACCCTTAATTATTTTATTTCCATTCATTCATTTATTCAACAGACATTTATTAAGCATCTGTTACATGGAAGGCATTTTTTTTTTTTAGATACAGCATGGTATAGTGGGAAGTGAGTTAGAGTCAGAACACCTGGCTTCAAGGCCCAGCTCTGGCCCTTACTAGTTGACTGACTATGGACAAGTCCCTTGACTTCTGAATCTCAGTTTTTTCATCTGTACAATGGGGGTAATAACATATGTACTAACTTAGCTCTACAGGTCTGTTTTGGGAAAAGTGATTTGTAAATCTTAAAATGCTTCAGAAATATGAACTACATTATTATAACCTCTCTAAACGTCAAATAGGGGGAATCTTATAGAACGTTATAGGACCAAGGTCTAAGGCACAGCTTCATCAAGAAAGGAAATGACTGGATACTTCTTACATTTGAAACAAATGGACAGGGGCTGTTAGGCAAGCAATTTAAAAACTGCTTGTGTTTGAGTGTTTGTGTGTGTATGTGTGTGTATGTGTGTGTGTGTGTGTGTGTGTGTGCCCATATGAATGCAATATAAACTCAGTAGTTACAGGAAAGATGTCATATAAAAATGGATAAAGTATTTGTATAAATATATAAATTATTATGTTATTATATATATATATTCAGCTTTGGTGTTGGAATTGAATAGAAGGGAAAGAACAGGCTGGATTTCATTTGGGAGACAGTAGCACTTTCAAAAACCTGAAGCTTCACCCTTCAACAAAACCCTATTTAAAATAAGTAAATAAATAAAACAAAATATGGGTGTTTTTCTGTCTATGCTATTGCTATGAATCATGGGTTACTATGAACCTTGAGGAACAGAAATTTATGTCACCCAAAGGACAAGGGACAGATGTATTGCTCAGGAAGTGGGAGTAGAAAATCAAAGAGAAGTGTGACGGGACAGGAGCTGGCCCAGTCACAAAGTGAAGACAGCAGACGGATTACACCCACATCTCCTTAATGCTAAGAGAACTATAGGCCAGAGAGATTCCCTCTTTGAATGGTATGCTCCAAATAGGCCAATGATAAAAAGAAAGGCTTCATACACACCAAAACACTCATAGCAGTACATTTTTTTTTTTGACGGTAGCAAAGAATTGGAAACAAAGTCGATGGCCCCATTGGGGAATGGCTCAAACCAGTTATGGTACAAGAACATAATGGAACATTATTGAGTTGTGAGAAATAATGAATAGGTTGAATATGGGGAAATAAGGGATGACCTGAATGAACTGAATCAAAGTAGATGAGCCAGGAAACAGCACACATAGTGACCAACACCAATGTAAATGGAAAGAATGACAAACACAGAACAACTGAAATTCAATGCTGTAAAATTATACTGACCAAACTTGGCCTCAAATAAGGGATATGAGAATTCACCACCCTTCCTTGCTTGCAGAGGTGGGATCCATGGTTGTCGAAGACCACACATAATGCCAGACATCATTGATTTGTTAGTTTTGTTCAACTTTCTCCCCCTCTCCCTTCAAATTCTTTGTTATAGGAGACAGGGAATGGTAAGAGAAGAAGAAGGAAATCTATATTGGGAAGTATGGTGGGTTTTAAAACAAAAAAAAAAACAATCATGTTTAAGAGATCTGGAGGATGGCTCCCTGGTGTCCTGGATAACCCCTCTATGGAAGTTTTTCCCAACTCTAAGTTTTGGTTCTGCAACTTACTTAAGCTGTGTAGCTGTAGGTAATAAACCTCTCTGAGTTTCCAATTCCTCATCTGTAAAATGGGGACAATGATCCATTTTTACTCCCAGAACTGCTATGAGGAAAGAGCCAAGTGCCACACCAATGCCACACCATTATTGTTCTCTGTATGAGATTTGGGGTGAGAACTGCTCCATCTGAGATGGAAACAAACAGCAGCTGGCTGCCCAACCAGCACTGGTCTCAATGCAAAGAAGACTGGATAGACATTTTAGCCTGGGGTGGGAGAAGCACAGGTTAAGTTTAGCGTGGATGCCTCTTGGCTATCATGGATCCACGTTGCATTTGTGATCTACTTCATGGTTACCGAACTGGAACAGAAGGCACTCCAGGCTTTCTGGGACTGCCTTTGGAATAACAATACTGCTAATAACTGACTTTTCTATAGTGCTTTAAGTTTTATAAAGCCTTTGCCTCACGACTACTCATGAGAGTAGGCAATCCAAGTATTTTCATCCCTCCTCTACTCCTCTGCCCCCATTTTTTTTTAACAGCTGAGGGAACTCATTAGATTATGAACCCTTTCATTAGATTGTAAGGTCCTTGAGGGCAAGGACTGTCTATATACTTTCTTTGTATCCTTGGTGCTCCACATAGTATCTGGCACATTGTCGGTGCTTATTAAATGCTTACTGACTTAACTGAGGCTGAGAGATTCATTAAGTGATTGAACCTAAGAAAATACAGAAGGACTCAAAACCAGGTCTTCTGACTCCAAGTACACCATACCCCTCTGCTATTGAAGTAAACAAATCTAACTTTGAACCTGCCCTTATTTTAAGTGGAAAATAAGATGCATTTGAATTCATCAGTGAACTCAAATTGAAAATCAAATTAGGCTTATTTCCATTTTTAAAAATCCACAAACTCATTTTTTTGGTGCAATCAGAAGCAGAAAGGAACAGAATGAATTTTTCCATTAAAATATGAAGGATCGTAAGATCACAATTCTCGTCTTGGAAAGAACTTTTTGGTGTTGTTGTTGTTTGGTCATGTCTAACTTTTCATGACCCCATTTGGGGTTTTCTTACCAAAGATAATGGAGTGGTTTGCCATTTCCTTTTTCAGCTCATTTTACAGAAAAGAAAACTGAGGCAAACAGGGTGAAGTGACTTGCTCAGGGTCACAAAGCTGGTAAGTGTCTGAGGCTGGATTTGAACTCAGCTCTTCCTGACTTCCAGGCCCAGAGCTCTAGATGCCCAGAAAGCGCCTTTGTAAACCATCTAGTAGATTCCTTTCATTTTTATAAGTGACGAAATTGAGGCTCAGAGAGGCTTGATATCTTGCCAAAAGTCACACAGGTAATAAGAGGGCAGAGCCAGGATTTGAACCTAGGTCTCCTAAACTCCCAACCAACCCTGTAGCCACTGTGCCACAGCTAACTGGATTTGAAGACGTCTAATCAGAGCCCCTGATTTTGCATGGAATGACTTGTACATTCCCAGAATGCCGAAGGAACTTAAGAGACAAGGCAGGGGCCAGGCTTTCATATATCACCCCATAAAATTCAGAGAGCCCTTTGACGGGTTATTTATCTGCAACAACTCCAGCCCATTAGTTACCCAGCAAGCACAGCACCCAGTAGAGTAATGCTTTGTATCTCCGTCTCTCGAAGCAAAATCACAGCAATCCGTCTCACCTGTAGGCAGTGCGGGGCTTCAGGGGACCATCACAGAATTTTTGCTGATTTGAATCACATTTACCACCCAAGCTTTCCATCTCTGCTCCAAGTTTAATGTTAAAACTCTTTGAGTTGAACTCAGGACTTTCTGTGCATTTGCTTGCGAAATAGTTGGTCTGATAGACTCGAATGGAGGCATTGTGGCGGTATTCAAAGTAGGAAGGCAGGGGGTGATGCTGCTCTGGCTTCAACTCATCACTGCCTGGAATTGGGAAATGCACACAGGTTTTGTATTGAGAAAATAGAACATGGGTTGGAGAAGTCTCTGAAGGGTTAGTTCCTTACACAGGTGAGTAATTCCAAATCCTGATTGGTCTGACCTCCACCTTCCTACATCCCCTTCCCCCCAGTAACGCCACCAGCAGAGTCATAACTAACGGTTCTCACATCCTGGGCATGCAGCATAAAAGGTGTCAATAAAGCATTTGAAATGGGAGAGAACTAAGGCCTTGGAATATGTGGACCTTTGGGCTATGACGGTTAGCAGAGGTCCCAGGGCACCAAACAGCCTCTGCTGTGGAAGCTGCCTTCAAGAAGATGGAACTAGGTTGGGCCCCAGCACTCCTGGGGTGCGGCTATAAGGAGGAAGTGAGCCATCTACAGCAGCTTCCTGTTTTAAGCAACCAGTTGGTAAGCTCCATTGTTTCTACCAGCTCCAGTTCAGGAAGTACCTTCTATATTTCCACACCCAGGAGCAAACTCTGCTTGCTCCACCCTAGGGCTCTGCCTGGAGCAGAATAGCTCCAGTGATCAGCAAGAGTTCTATGAAATTCCTATCAAGTTTATTTTAATTCAATTTTCAAATAGAAATATAAAAATATAAATATATATTTATAAGTATTCAATTTCTAGAAACATAATACCTAGCTAAATACTTTAGAATATCCATGTGAGTACTTTTCAAATATAAAACATATAATATAAATATAAAATATGAATATACATAAAATATATAATATAGAAATATCAAATAAATGCTAACTGCAGTTCTAGAAGTGGGATAAGTGAAGATTATTGAACTCAAAGTAATACTGATAGGGCATCAGTTCTAAAAGGTTGAGAGTTAGTGTTATATTTAAATGGCTCCTGCCAGCTATTAAGGAAACCCATATGGCAAGGGAGACATTAAATGTTTTATGGGAAGGAACTGGGAAGGATCACATCTGTCACCAAAGCTTCATCCCCATCTAGGGTTTTTCCTACCCTAGATACTTTCCACCCCCAACCCCATACAAGTAACATCTAGTCTAATAAATCTTTACATGATCAACTCTCAACTGCAAACTACAGACATTTTAAATTCTTGCCTGACTTCTTCCCATCATCCAATGCCCATTTCAAACTAATCCCTTCAATAATCCTATCCCTGAGTGTTTGGTCAATGCAAACTTATTTCAATGTTAGCTGAAGTAATAGATAATTAATAAATAACATTATATTTATGGATAGGGATGGGTCCTGTGATTTCTTTGCTATAAATAACTTTCAGGTGAGCTAACTCCCTCTGCCAATTCAGTCTGCGCAACTGATGGTCTTAGAGAGTTGCTTAGAAGTCCTGATTTATACATTTAAATGATTTGGCCAAGGTCTTTATGTGTGAAATCTGAACCCAGATCTTCCTGGCTTTGAGGCCAGCTTCCACCTGCTACACCACACTGCCTTTCTATAATATTAAAATTAGGAGGATAAATCTGCATATATATGGATGCATATACACACACAAACACATTATGCAGGTCAGATACTGTTTATAATTGATAGGGGGAAGGTGGGATATCCAAATGATTCTACTGGATAATTCTACAATTTTGTTGCATCAAAATGTGTGCTATTAACAGGAGCTTGGAAAATAGTTTTATTATACATTAGTTAAAATGGGATTTGTCCCATGGAATGCAAACATATACTAGATTATACAAATAGCTTTGAGTTTGTCTGAAGTTTTGAATTATTTGGACCACTGCTCTTCTCCATTGACACAGATAACTCAGAGTTGACTATGGGAATTAAAATCCAGTCCTTAAGGATGGCAGTGTTGGAAGGGCTGTGCTGACTATGTTTGTTTTTTGTTTTTTGTTTTTTTTTAAGCTTCTGTTTTGTCAGGAGCTCAGGAATTCAATGATTACATCAAAGATATTAGGGCCTGACTAATATTACAGTACCTCTGCTGGGTGTACACTCCATCTGCAATTATTTAGCTTAACAATAAAAGATTCTTCTGCATTAAGGAGTTTGGTTCTTAATGAGTCTAAAAATCTTCTTTAGCCCCAAACTTCTTCCAGAATCCTAGGGTCATAGATTTAGAACTTGAAGGGAACTTGGAGGCCATTTAGTTCAAATTGAGGCCCAGAGAAGTTACATGACTTGCCCAAGGTTAAACATGAATTAAGCAGCAGAAGCAGGTTTGGGCTCTTGTCCTCTGACCAGATCCAGTGTTCTTTCCACTGTAGCAAGATGCTTCTCTACAGAGGTGCTGGGTTTCTTCTCCAACATTGGCCAAAGCCACCAAGAATGCTTAAGAAGTATACACAGAGTTAGAATAGCCTCGAGATGTAGGAAAAATTGGATATTTGGTAGAATTTTCCCCCATTGAAAAACAACTTTGGTGAAGTGAGTATGTCTGTTGTAGAAAGAGCAGGAGTCAGGGACAACTACACGAATGCACTTGTATAAAGTCAAAAATAGGAACATATTTAATGAATGGTTGGCTTAACTCTATACAAAGGAACTCCAGGTTGCCTATGACTGTTGTCATTTTGGGAGTGGAATTTTGTTTTAATTAGTGTGTTGCTTTTTCATTAAAGTCCTATTCTGGTTCTTAGCCCATGTTCTAGTGATTAGCACAGTGTAGGATGGTACACAGTAGGTGCTTGATAAATGCTTACTGACTGATATTTTATTATGCTATGGAAGTTCTCAAAGACTATGAGATTGGAGTGCAAGCTCTGATAGGCTTTGGAAAGGCTTTGGGACTGACAATGGATAGTTTCTGTCCTTCGAGGACCAGCCAGTCAGTCAACAAGCATTTATTTAGGACTATGTCCTAAGCAATAAGAGTGCAAGGAAAAATAAAAACAGGGGCTCTGCCCTCGAGGAACTCACATTCTAATGGTGGAGACAATATACAAAAAGTCATCTATGCACAAAATAAATACAGTGTAAAAAGGAGGTAATTTCAAAGGGGGTGGGCACTACTGTTGAGGGATAGGGAGGGAGAAGGGGCTCCTATAGAAGAAAGGATTTGAGCTAAATCTCTAAGGAATTCTAAGCCAGAATGAGAATGCATCCCTAGAAGAGGGTTCATCACCATTAGGTGATGATTTTAATTATTATTATTATTATTATTATTCTTTTAGCCACACCAACTCATAAAAATCATCTACGAACAAACAGAGAGTTTACAACCTATGTCTAAGGAGGGAGTACTCACATGGATATTCTAAAGTATTTAACTAGATATTATGTTTCTAGAAATTGTGTATCTATGAACTAGTTAGAGATTAAATAGATTCTCTATAACACTCTGGTAGTTTCTCTCTCTATCTCTTTCTGTCTCTCTGTCTCTGTCTCTCTCTTTCTCTCTCTCTCTCTGTCTCTGTCTCTGTCTCTGTCTCTCCCTCTCTGTCTCTGTCTCTCTCTCTGTCTTCCCAGGCCTTTTAGTACAGTGCCTGGGACATAGCAGGTTGTTAGTAAATGCTAGTTGACTGACTAATAGGATGCAATGATCTGAGATCAAAATGGGAAATTAGGAAGTATTCTGAACACTCTATAACAATTCCTTACCCCCTTTCCTCTTAGAGCTTTTAGATTTTTTTGTGCAGTCAGAGGTTTGGGAGTTTCGACTTTTTTTCCTGGGGAGTTGGTTGACATAATGTTTGAAGTAAGAGTGAGTAAAGAGCTTTGAAGGAAAATTGCTGCTTAATGGCTGAGCAAAGAGGGGTGAAGAATTTAATGCACATCCATTACTGAGAGGGACTTTAAATACACAAAGGAGTATAGAAACTTTCTTTTGGCCTAGGATTATTCAAAGAATTTGTTTTAGTCAGCACAACAAAGCACATTATTTCTAGTGATCTATTGTGATATGGAAATAGGTTTGTTATTACACTACTCTTCATGAAAATAGGATTTTGCCTCATTTCTGAATGAACTGGACAAATCTGTGAGCAATGACATCTCAGTATTAAATTTGAAAAATGATAGAATCATGGATCTGGGAATACCCTTGAGTGGTCCTTTAGTCCATGCCCCGGTCCTTAAAAGAGTTGTACCAAGTACCCTGTCCCTAAAAAAAAATATAACTGTCTCCTTTTTCACTTAAAATTATCAGAGGAGAGTCTGTGGTTTCCCTGGAAAAGCATTTCAGTGTCTTACAGTATTGTTAATTACTGAAACTTACCATCGGCCTCTCTCACCACTACTGTAAAATATTTCACAGCCCCATTGGTGTCACTGAACCAGCTGCAGTTAAAAGTAAAGTTGATGGAAGACTTGCTAATTAGCACATCCTTTTTATTCACTCGAATATGTGGAGGTGGCGGAGGAGGGCCTGGATGAGAATGAGGAATAAAGAGGGTGTGATGACTTCATGCAGCAGCCTCTGAAATCAGCATCCCAGCCAATCTAACCAAACCCAAATTGTTTGATTCCTATGTTGTTTGCAATCACCAAACATCCACCCTCTCTAGTAGAAAAATGGGCAGGGGAAGGGACATTCCAGTAGTGCATCAAAGGTAACAAAAGAGGCAATTCCTCAGCAGGATTCTTGGAGTTGCTTCATTGAAAGATACTTTGTAGCTCCTATCACATCCATAAAAGGGATGTTTTGAACAAAGCACCAGCTCACACAGGTCTATTAAGATCGCTTACCTTGTCAAACTAAGGATGCCCTATAGAGGGAAACCTTTCTAGGATATTGGCTCTGCCCCCTTCATTCCTCCCGAAGGAGCAATAAATCAGATTATAGGGAAGGTCTTGTATGACCTTAGACAAGTCACTTAGCCTCTGAGGCCCCCAATTTTCTCAATGGTATAATGAGAGGGTGGGTTCTTGAGGCTGCGATCCCTGTCATTATTGTTGTTTAGTCGTTTCAGTCATGTCTGACACTTCCTGACCCCATTTGGGGCTTTCTTGGCAAAAATACTGGAGTGGTTTGCCATTTCCTTCTCCAGCTCATTTTACAAATGAGGAAACTGAGGCAAACAGGGTTAAGTGACTTGCCCAGGATCACACAGCTAGTAAGTGTCTGAGGCCAGATTTGAACTCAAGTTTTCCTGAAGCCAGACCCAGTACTCTATCTATTGTGTCACCTAGCTGACCCAAGCACCATGCTCTTGGCACATAGTAGGTGCTTAATAAATACTTGTTGCCTTCACCTTTTCCTCTTCAGTGCACCACTGATCAGCCATGGTCAGACACGCCGTACCTTGACCCCAAAGTAGTGATGCCATTTTGGTCCTCTTCTAGAATGAAGGCCAATAAACAACAAATACTAAAACTAACGGACAATAGCAAAGCTCTCCTCTTTGACTTTGGGGGAGGGAGTGGTGCTGTGGAAAGGAGCACTTACGATCAATCATAGTGATTGTGGTCTCTTCCACCACCTCGCTGGTCATGCCCTCGGACTGCACCTTGATGGACACACGGTACTGCTTATGAGGAACTAGGGTCATGATATTGAGCACGGATTTATCTTTGTCCAGCCTTCGGGAGAATTCCACCTCCTCGGTGTCCACTTTCCTGCATTCAATGCTGTACCCATCAAAGTCAGAATCAGGAGGGATCCAGGAACAGGCAATGGCTGTGGAATTCTGTGGACGGCAATGCAGGTTTTGTATCTTGTCTGGCCCTGGAGAGGGGAGGAATAGAATGGATTCAGAACTTGGCAGTGGGTGGTTCCTGCTGGTAGTGTTTGCTTTTAGAGCATCTAGACAAAACTAGCTCTGACCTTGCCATCCAAGTAATAGTTGCCTCCCCAACATCTCAAAAGACTTTTGAGGCCAGGGTTCTCAACCCTTTTTGATGTCACAGACCCCTTTGTCAGTTTAGTGAAGACTACAGAGACCTTCTCAGAATACTATTTTTAAATGAAATGAAATTAATACATGGGATTACAAAGGAATCAACCCCTTACTCTCTACCTTCCTTGCTCCCACCAAGTAATCTTTGACCCAATGACACTAGCCTCCTTGCTCTTCCTGAATAAAATGCTCCATTTCTAGGCATTTTTTCATTGGCTGTCCCTGAACTCTCTCCCTTCTCATCTCCACTTCCTGGTTTCCCTCAAGTCTCAGTTTCTATAGCACGTAGCCTCCTGGTCCTTTTTTTTTTTTTTTAAAGGCAATGAGGTTAAGTGACTTGCCCAGGGTCACACAGCTAGTAAGTGTCTGAGGCCTGATTTGAACTCAGGTCCTCGTGACTCCAGGGCTGGTGTGCTATCCACTGCACCACCTAGCTGCCCCTTCTCCTGGGCCTTCTTTTTTCTTTTTTAAGGCAATTGGGGTTAAGTGACTTGCCCAGGGTCACACAGCTAGTAAGTGTCAAGTGTTTGGTCTGAGGCCAAATTTGAACTCAGGTCCTCCTGACTCCAGGGTCGGCGCTTTATCCACTGCACCACCTAGCGGCCCCTTTTCCTGGTTCTTCTTGACCTTAGGGCCTTCCCTCTGAGATTATCTCCACTTTTCCCTCTTTCTAGCTTGTTTATGCCCAGCTCTTCATTCATTTTCTCTCCCATTAGACTGTGAGCTTCTTGAGAGCAAGGACTGTTTTTTGTTTTTGTTTTTGTTTTTTTGCCTTTCTTTGTATCCTCAGCACTTAGCACTGTGCCTGGCACATGATAAATGTTTGTTGACTTGAAATACAATTACGAAAATATTTTTAAAGTTCCATAGACTGTTGGTTAAGAACCATTGTTCAGTCAGTGGTTTTCAAAGTGTGGTGTGGAGACGCCTGGAGGTACCTGAGACCCTTTAAGGGGTTTCTTGAGGTCAAAACTATTTTCATAATAATACTAAGACATTTTAGTTTCTAATACAGAAAATATAGCTATCTATAACCCATATAAACAAAAACTCTTTGGGGTCCTCAGTCATTTTTAATTGTGTCAAAGGGTCCTGGGGCCAAAAAAATTGAGAATTGTTGATCTAGGATATTACTTAAAAATAAATCACATTTGTAATACATACTTTTTACCTTGCAGCTAATGTATTGTAAAAGGAAATCTATCTATCTATCCATCTATCCATCCATCCATCTATCTATTTCTATCTATCTATCTTTCTATCTATTCTATAGATAGATGTACACATAGATATATGTATGTATGTATACACACACGTGTGTGTATCATAAGACTGATATTAGAAAGCAATCCTATCCATAAGTCCAAGCAATTAACCAGGCAGCTAATTTGATGCTGTCCTTCCCCCCAGCCACCATTCTGTTCTGCCCTTAGGTTTTGGGACCTGTGTGACAAAGATGGAGGTAAACACAGGGCCATCCTGCTGACTTTGTGACAGCTTGTTAACCATTATGGGTAGATGTTGAAATAGTCTGGTCTACAGATATCAATGATGACTAAATATGTGTGGTTTTTTGGGGGGGAAGAAACCATAGTTGATTTCCAGCCCCTTCACCCAAAAGGTGAGATAATAAGCCTTTTATTTGTATCAGGATCCATGAGACAGAGGAGCAAAGCTAGTCTGACACCATTTCTTGGCATCTTACCTGGGCCTCTGGCCTAACAGAGCCCCAGGTGGCTAAGGCTCGACCTGTCTCTGTTTCCCAAATGGAACAGCTATGAGGACCAGCTCATGGGGGTTCACCATTGCTGCTGCTGCCATGATTGTGGTGATTGCCATCACTATGTGTGCCTATGGGGTACAGGTATGAGGTATTTTCTGCTACTTTCTACCAATCATGCTAAATTTTTTCAGCTCTGGTCAGGCAGGTAAGCAGTGAGGAGAGGTCCTGTGTGAGTGCAGAGTATTCCAGTAGCATGTGAGATGTAACCTGGCATACTGAACTGACAGGGTACTGAACTTGGAGTCAGGGATTCAAATCCCACCTCAAGTATTTATTAGCTGTGTGACGCAGAAAAAGTCACTTAACCCTATCTATACCTCAGTTTCTTCATCTACAGAAGGAGGGGGCTAAATCTGATGGGTTCTGAGGCTTCCTTCCAGCTCGAAATCTGTGATGTGCTGCTGCTATGTGTATGAGACTGCTTGTGCTCATTTTGGATGGGCATGCATCTGCCAGTGAATATGAATATGTTTGTATGTCAGACTCTAGGAAGAGAGAGAGGATGCTTATAATCTTAAAGTCAAGCATGACCATGTCACTGCCCCTGCTAAAGACGCCTTAGTGGTTTCCATGCTGCCTGGAACATAACAGGAATTTACTAAAAAATACTTGCTGATTTGACTCAAGGATAAAATACAAACTCTTCTTTATTGACATTTGAAGCCCTTCATGGTCTGGTTCACTGGTTACAAGTGAATTGCTCTCATACGCCCTCTGTTCCAGGCAAACTGGCTTATTCATTCTCTATACATTACATCCTATCTGCCATCTCTTTGCTTTTGTCTCTTGAAATCCTGGGCTGCACTCAAGATGCGCTTCAAATGCAACCACCTTCAAGCAGTGGGTCTTCCTGACCCCCTCCTCCCAGTTTTTAGAATCCCTGGAAGTGACATTTTGTATTTCCTTATTGGTGTACAGTTCCTGGCTTGTTGAATTGAATAATCAAGCTGTGTGGGCTTTGGATGAACACCACTGACAATATTGTTGTTGTTCAGTCATTTTTTCAGTTGCGTCTGACTGTCTGTGACCCCATTTGGGGTTTTCTTGGCAAAGATACTGGAGTGGTTTGCCATTTCCTTCTCTAGCTCATTTTTATAGATGAGGAAACTGGGGCAAACAGCTAGTAAGTGTCTGAGGCTGAATTGAAACTCAAAAAGATGAGTCTTCCTGACCCCAGGCCTGACACTCTATCCACTGTGCCATGTAGTTGCCCCACCGGCAATGTAGGCGACTATAAAATTGAGTGCTATTCCCAAACATGAACCCCTAGACCCAGTTCCTAAGGCAGGGTTTAAACTCATATGTTTCTAATTCCAGGTTTAAAGCTTTATCTACTGCTCTACCCTTTGTCTAGATAAAGCTTTAAACCTGGAGTTAGAAACATCGGAGTTTAAATCCTGCCTTAGGAATTTCCAGGCAGTGTTAGCCTGGATAAGTCACTTAACCTCTTTGTTCCTCAGTTTCCACATATGTAAAATGAGGAGGTTGGGTTCAGTAGCCTTTTTGGTCCCTACTAACCCCAGACTTATGATATTATAATCCTTCCTTCTCCTCTCCCCCCATCACTGTATGTGTCCAGTCATCCTGTATCTTTCATAACAATCTCAGAGCAGTAAAACATTTCCCCTAGATTAGCATCCTCTGCAAACAATACCATTTGCAAAGAGAATTAGTTCTTTGTTCCAGTATCCAGGTGATTGATTAAAAAAACACTGGGTCTGAGACCTATTCTGTAAAACACTGAGGTGTCAAATACACCGCCTAGGGCAGAGTGCAGCCTCCAATACTCCCAAGTGCCACCCAAACCAGATTAAAATGCAATTGGGAAATATTTAACAGAAAGAATAAAAATAAATACAGCAAAATGTAGATGACAATACATAGGTTTCTAAGTCAATATGAGGCCTAGCCTGCAGAAATCCTTATGTACAGTTTAGCCACCATTTCTACTTGAATTAGAAACCATTGCTGGAAAATACTGCCTTTTAGCCTCTTCCCCCTGCCTTTTGCCCATATTCCTCAGCCCTAGCCAGCATTAAAAGCCATTCTCCATCAGATACGAAGACCTTGCAGTTCCTAGTTCACTCACTATTAACTGACTTTACAAATTGTTTCACAATACTTCATCGATCAAAGGTCTTAAAAATGTCTAAGTAAAAAGAGTAGAAGCTTTGTTTCTATGAAAACATGCTCAATGCCCCTCCCTGCCCCTAACAATTTCCGGATCCCATTCTTACCTTTCTCAGCTAACCAGACAATCAATACCTAGCATGCAGTATACTCTGAGGATACAGTAGAGATACAAGACACAATCACTGACCTCAAGGGCAGAGAATAGGAGGTAAATAAAAGGGCTTTTATTTTCCCCATTGACATGAATGAATGGGTGATGTTAGAAAGGCCATAAGTAACAAAACTAGTGGTGGAACTTTCAGGCACTGTGGTTAGGTGAGTTTTTAGTGTCCCAGAAGACACATTATATAGGTGACTACTTACCTTCTCTAGGGGCTGCCCTGATTTTCTCTGTCTCTCTGTCTCTCTCTCTCTCTCTCTGTGTTTCTCTCTCTCCCTCTCTCCTCCCAGGTACTATAGAGTCAAGAGGTTACCTACTAAGTGAAACATCATATTTAGAGCCGAAAAGGACCTTAGTGATCACTGCTGCCAGCTTCTTCATTTTATTGATGAGGAAACCAAGACCCAGAGAGGTTAAGCAACTTGCCCTGGGTCACACAGATAGTAAATTATAGCGCTGGAATTTCAACTAAGGTCCTCTGACTCAGAATCTTCTTTTCCCTGCGTTGAGTGCCCTCCTATCCACTGGGTCATGATGTTGAATACGTCTCATGAATCCATTACACTCTATGAAATTAACCACCATTCTAAGAAACAAAGATAAGAAAGACAATGCATTTTATTGGAAAGAAGGGAAGGAAGGAAGGAAGGAAGGAAGGAAGGAAGGAAGGAAGGAAGGAAGGAAGGAAGGAAGGAAGGAAGAAGGAAAGAAGGAAGGAAGGAAGAAAGGAAGGAAGAAAGGAAGGAAAAGAAAGAAAAAAGATGGAAAGAAAGGAAGGAAGAAAGCATTTAAGAAAAAATATCTCTTAAAGAAAGCAGATGCCAATGTTTTGCAAAACCCATATCAGTCTTTCAAGGATTCTGATCACAGAGTGGATTATTTTTAGTATCATGGCAGATATAAAAAGAGACAGGTCTATAACTCATATTGTTTTCCACATGAATTCAAAACCAATCCTCCATAAGCCAAACAGGAGATTTAGAGTAAGCACCACTGAAATGATCAAATGGCATCTCTACCTCCTACTTCCACCTCCTGAGAACCTCTGGTCCCCCAAATGACATACTTGTCCTCACTGTTCCAGAAATAGGTTGGCTGTAGGTTTTCCATGATTCGCCACTGACAGTCCTGACTCTGAATTGATAGAACCGCCCTGGATGAAGACCGTACACAATGCGCCCCTTTGATTTTCTGTTACTGTAGGGGTTGAAGATGGTGAGTTGGTCTCTTGGAAACCACTGCAGCTCAAAGTCATCATAGTCTGTCCAATCTGGTGGACCCAGCCATGTGATGGCCAGGGAGGTGTTTGCCACATCAGCAAAGGACAAAGTACTGGGAGGCCTTGGTGCTGAATAGAAAAGAAAGTGAAGAATTTTGTGGGTTTTATAAGTTACACATTGGGTCTAAATGACACAAAATATGACTTTTCTTGTAGGTCTCCTATTACGCCTCATATTTCTAGTACCATTCTGACAAGGAGTTATTCATATTAATTAATATTAATATTTAGCTTCTTTTATGCACTGCCTCCTCCATTAGATTGTGAGCTCCTCAAGGGCAGGGATTGTCTCATTCCTTTCTTTGTATCACCAGCACTTAACACAGTGCCTGGCACATAGTAGGTATTTAATAAACGTTTATTGGCTTGACTCTACTATTGAAAAGTGCTATGGGACTAGAAATTGAACCATCCCCTCTAGTGGCTTACATTCTGGACTTAATACAGGTGAGTAGGTACAAGATAATTTTAGGAGGAAAAAAAATACTAGCTAGTAGAGGGAAGCAGGAAAGGCTTCCTGTAGGAGGTGGCACCTGAGCTGAACCTTAAAGAAAACTAAAGATTCCAAGAGGTGGAGGTGAGAAAGAAGCAGATTATTTTAGGCGTGGGGTTGTTTGTCCTTCATTCTTTTTTTAGATATTTCTTTTAAGGCAATTGGGGTTAAGTGACTTGCCCAAGGTCACACAGCTAGTAAGTGTCAAGTGTTTGGTCTGAGGCCAGATTTGAACTCAGGTCCTCCTGACTTCAGGGCTGGTGCTTTATCCACTGTGCCACCTAGCTGCCCCCATTTGTCCTTCATTCTTGAAGAGGACCATGACATCAGGGAGGTGATGCCATGACATGCAAGTGAACTGGATTTAAGTGAGGGAGGGCTGTGCAAAGCCACCACCCTCACTTCCTTCTCTGGAGCCATCTGGGTCCAGTGGCCAGATATGGATCAGGACAACTGGAGATGGCCCAGGATTCAGTGGAGACCTTGGCCTTTTCAAGCTAAAGTCTGAACAGGTCTCAGTTTGACTGAAGCAACACCCATTTAGTGATTAAGGCTCAATAAGAAATGAGGCAGAGAATGGCCTCTTCAAGAAAGAAAAAAAATCAATACAAGAGGGAAAGACCCTCAGAATTTCTGGCCAAACCAAAAATAATCGCTATTTACATCATGGGATATAGCCTGCACAAAGGCAGTAGGACGGGAGGCAAAATCCCCCAGTTCAGGGAAGTGGTCAATTCTTCCGGAATATAGTGTGTAATTATAGGAAGTAATGAGAAATAAGTCTAGAAAAGTAAGCTGGCATGAGACTGTACAGTACTGGTATTATCAAAATGTAAACTGGGTTGATTCTGAGTAGTGCACCCATGATTTTCTTGTTTGTCAAGTTTTAAATCAAAATTTAATGAGATCCTGTGGGGAGTAGTGTGTAGATAGCCTCAGCGTCAGGACGACCTGAATTCAAGTTGAAACTCTGATATATACTGCTGTGACTCTTGGCAAATCACTTAAATTCTCAGTGCCTAAGACAGCTCTCTAAGATCAGAAGAGAAGGTTCCAGTCTGTATCGGGAGAGTCTTTTTGATCTGTGGGTTCCCTATGCCAATGAAATCACAGGTTCCGTTCTTATCCCTATAAGTATTCATATGATCACAATCCTATCCCCAAAGAATCCCGAAATGTCTCATATGGTGGTTCCATTTTGGACAATTGGACACCTGGACATAGCAGCTGAGCATCTTACCTGTTCTGCTCTCAGCGGTGATGGTATTGGTGAGGTCACCGCTATGAGTCACCACACTTAGCGTATACTTTCTCCCAGGAACAAGGCTATGGAAATGCTTCTCTGTGAGGTCTTTTGCTTTCCAACTTTCCTTCTGTGTGCCATTGGGATTGTAAAGAATCAGTTCATAAGAATCTCGGTCCCCAGGGGCAGGGCTCCATGTGAACCAGAGGCTGTCTGTCATGTTCTGGTTGGATCCTTTGAGATTGTTCACTGGGGCTGGGACTGAAGCAGAAAGGGAAAATCACTACTGAGTGTATGACAGTGCTGAACAAAGGCTTCTGGGACCATATGCTTCACATTTAGCTTGAGTGGCAGATGTTTTGATCTTTCCTCCTCAAGTCAGAATTTAGGTCCATATGGGTGTATTGAGAGAAGAAACATAAACTCTAAACATACTACATACACACTGACTTTACTCTGTATCTGAACTGTTTAATCCAAATCAAGCCGAATTTTTGGACTGGGTCTACCCAAGAGAAAAGTATTCAGCAAGTGAAGTTTGTCTTTATTTCTTCAGTCTTCCCTTTCTGGGCTCCTCTGCTTCTGTTTTAGCTGCTCTTCAGACACTCAGGGATCACTGAGCTCCCTTCTTTACTCTGTCCCTTATCAAAACCTGTTATTAGCTCAATAGTCAGGACAGGGCTTATTATCAGCCATTTATACTCTAGTGTGAATTTGTCACCTTTCTCAGGGGCATTTACCCTTCATAATTATCACAGATTGCAGAAATGAAAGGCTTTCCCTCTATTTGAGCAAAACATCTGGTTAATTCAGTGAAATAAAAACCATATATCAACTGAGTGGAATTAAAAATTAAAAATAGCCCCACCATTTATCTTTCAGCAAAGAAACATAATGATTTCCTACCCACTTCCACATCCTTTTCAAATTTAGAAAAGAAATTTCCATAGGGGAAACTTTTTTTTTGGACTCCTTTACAAGCATCTGAAATCACAACATATAAACTATTACCTACATAACTGAAGGATGAGGAAATAAACTTCTTCCTAGTCCTTACTGTGCTCTAGGTACTGTGCTAAGTGCTTTACACATAGTTATCCTATTTGGCTCTCACAACAACCCTGTGAGGTAGGTGCTGTTATTATTCTCATTTTACAGATGAGGAAACTGAGGTAAAAAGAGGGTGTGACTTACCCAGGGTCATATAGCTAATAAGTGTCTGAGGTTGGATTTGAACTCAGGGTTTCCTGATTCCAGTCTATCCGCTGTGCTACCTAGCTGCTCCTAAGATGAGGCCCATCTCCCTCTTTCACACCCCCAAATAGAGGGGGGATAGAGGTAGCAGGGGGAAAATGAGTCAGTATGGTACCTCCAGTTGGGGTGTATGAGTGGAGTCAGTCTTTGTTAGTTAGTAATCAGAGGATAGACAGATCCTCCAATAAAACAAGAGAATACATCCTGCACATCTGTGTCTCCTAAAGCTCTTCAATTATGTAAGCATCCTTAGTCATGGGGCCGTTTCAGACACTCATCTCTGGCGTTCCCATGTTGTATACCTCCCTTCCCTCGGTTTCCCTCCTATCCACCTATTGTGCTGACGGAAAACAGGAAAGGAGATACATGGGGGAGGGGAGGGGAGACGCCTGGTGACAGTGAATCATAGAGTCTCTGAGAATATCAGTAAAGGTTGATTCATTTTAAACTAAAATAGTGGAGTGTCAACCAGCTAGAGTCAGAAAGCCTGGGAGAGTGCCAAAAAAAAGAGGATATATACATATATATAAAATATAAATGTGTATATATGTATGTATATATGTATGCATATATGTGTACATATATGTGTGTATATGTGTTATATATGTACTATATACACACAAAAAGGATATATACATATACACATGCACAAAAATATACACATATAGCTAGAGATATATATCAACATATTTCTATATGTATATATATGTTTGGCTTTATGCATGTATATGTGCACATATATGCACTGTGTATATATAGTATGTATATATGTATGTGTACATGCGTATATATGTATGGGCATGTGTGTATGTATGTATGTACATGGAGAAATGTATATATGTATATGTACATATGTGTATATGGAGAAAAAGACACAGAGACAGACAGAGACCGAGAATATATAAACTAAGGCTACTGCACCATAGGGTAGCTGAGAGAGATCTGGCTCAGAGCCAGGAAGACCTGGGTTTCAATCTAGTCTCTGACACATATTGGAGCAACTAGATAGCATAGTAGATAGAGCGCTGGGCCTGGAGTCAGGAAGACTCATCTTCCTGAGTTCAAATCTGACCTCAGACACTTACTAGCTGTGTGACCCTGGACAAGTCACTTCACCCTGTTGGCCTCAGTTTCCTCATCTGTAAAATGAGCTGCAGAAGAACATGGCAAACCACTCCAGTATCTTAGCCAAGAAAAACCCAAATGAGTCCAATGAAGAGTCGAACATGACTGAAAAACAACTGAATAACAACAACAAAAATAATAGACCCATGTTGGCTGTGAAAATAAGGGCAGAGCACTTAAAAATGTGCATTGGTAGAAGGAATTTTTTCACTGGAAATCTTTCTGCCAATAAAATCACCGCTCTGCCCACCCCAAAACCCCAAAGGCCACATTATATCTATATTCAGGGTTGGGGAAAAGAGTCATTTGTCTTTTTCTTTAAATATATATGCACACACACAAACACACCATCACACACACACACACACACACACACACACACACACTATAGTGTCATCAAATAGATATTCTCTGAATACTGCAACACATGCCAGTGAAGAAATGGTAAGCTCATCAGCACTTTGCTTATTGTATGTTTCTGCTTTGGTGTGGGGGAGGGAGAGGGTCCTTACCTGTTCTACCAAATATAAATGACTCATTTGAAAGCTCCCCACTATGAGTCACAATCACCATTTTGTACATTCTGCCTTGCATCAGGTTCTGAAAAGCACAGGACTGAACTCCAGGCTCCACCTTGGCTCGCTCCTGGAGCGTCTTGTCTGGGTTGTACAGGAAGATGTTGTACCAGTTGAGTTCTCCCTCAGAGGTCGTCCAGGTGAATGCTAGGTGGCTGGTGGAATTCTCTGTGACCTTGAGATTGGTCACAGCTGCTGGGACTGGAATCATGAATTGGAAAGATTGTTAGAATACCAAAGTCATAAACACCCATTGGGAGGCAGGGTGGTGATAGTGAAGAGACAGTGGGTTTTGAAGCCAGGAAGACCTAACCCTAACCCTAATACCAATCACTAGCGAGTGGCAATCATTGAATGTCCACACAATGGCCTTGTAGGTGTGGGCATTTCCTTCACTGATAAAACATGAGAAGACATTGTGCACGTTCATGTCTCCTAAAGCTCTTTAATTACATATGCATCCTAAATCATGAGGTTGTTTCAGACACTCATTTCTGGCCTTTCCATGTTACACCTTTACACCTTCTTTGGTGATCTTTAAGAGTTGCTGGGGACCAAAATATTAGCCCACTGCAACCAAGCTTTTTAAGAGAGGATAGACACTGGGCCTCTGACTCGTCAATGAGAGAAGGAAGTCCTGGAAAAGGAATCTCGCTCCACAAACACATTCTCTGCAATTTATAGTCTTGGAGAGTTGTCTAAAGCTTTGAGAGATTAAATGACTTCTTCAGGGTCATATAGCCAGTATATTTCAGAGGCTAGACTTGAACCCAGATCTTCCTGGCATGAAGACTGATTTTCTAGTCACTACTCAACACTGCCTCCCATGAACAATTTTAATTTCAGAAATGTGTCAGCGAGGCACTTAAATGCTGGTTTTCCTGATTCTCCGACTAAGAGGAAAAAAAGATTATTGTTATTCAGTGGTGCCTGAATCTTCGTGACTCAATTGAGGGTTTTCTTGGCAAAGATATTGCAGTGGTTTGCCATTTCCTTCTCTGGCTCATTTTACAGAAGGGGAAACTGAGGCAAATAGGATCACACTGGTCACAGGGTCACACAGCTAGTAAGTGTCTTGAAACTCAGGAAGATGAGTCTTCCTGACTCCAGGCCCAGAACCCTATCCACTGTGCCACATAGCTGCCACATTTTAATTACCTGTCCGACCTTCAGTTTCAGCCCTAACACTGAAGAGACCTCCGCTGACAGTTAGTATTTGTATCTTGTACTTCTTTCCTGGTATTAAATCTTCAAATTTGTGTTGTTTTACTGAAGCCAGCTCCGATTTGTTGCTCAGAATTTTCCCTTCTTCATTTAGAAGTAGGATATCGTATCTTTCTGCCGTGCCAGCTGCTCCTTGCCAATTCACTATCAATGAGTGACTACTGTATGCATTATCGGCATATAATCCCTGGACAGATGCAGGCACTGCAAATATCAACAACAAAAGCAAAGGGAACCAGATCAGGTTAGATCTTCTAGGGCATAATAATTAGTTGAAAAAAAAAATTACTATCAGAGGTTCCTAAAGTGGGTGATACCACCCCCTGGGAAGGCCTGGAACAATCCAGGGGGGCAGTAGTAGCCTCGGGTGCAATTGTAGGGCATTGAATAAAAATAAGGGGGCAGTGGAAGCATAAAGAAAGAAGAGAAGAAAAATTTGAAAAACCATTTGTACATATTTCATCTGTTGTGTTGTTACACAAGTTAAAGTCATAGTGATTACATTATTTCCCAAATAAACACACAAAATGCAAGTAATAACCAATCAATGGTCAAGTACCCCGACAAGTCTTAACAAGCAAGTGTTCGCAGGTGAGGGTATCGTGCATTGGTGGGAAGTACATCATGCATCAGCAGGAATATGTGTGTGTAATGACTTGTTTACAATACAATACTATATGGTTATATGACACAATATTGTGCCATCAAAATTTCAGTGCAGGAAAAACCCACAAATTTATAATAAATTATTAAATTTAATATGTCATTTAAAATATTTCATATTTTTTAAAAAGTACACAAATTTTAAGAAAAATTAAAGGGCTAAAGATTTCCCGGGGGAGTACTGAGCAATTTTTTTTTGTTGGCAAAGGGGGTGGTAGGCCAAATAAGTTTGGAAACCTCTGGTCTAGATGAACAAAAAAACCAAAGACAATAACCATCTGCTCACATGGTACTTTAAAATTATAAAACATTTTCCCCATAAACAATCTTGTGAAGCATTTACACATGAGAAGGGCTTTATTTACCTAAATTACCTGGATAACTGCTTCAATTCTCTATTTCCCTCTGTGTCTAGACACAGCCTCAGGCTACTGAGAATGGTGCTGATAAATACTGGAGAATTGGTGAAAAAACTGGGGCCTGCAGGTTTTTGAGACTAGGATTCTACCCAGTCTCTAGGTTCTAACTGAAGTTTAACACTAGCTACGAATAATTAGTAAGTTAATATTTAAGGTTTATTGAAGGAATGAATGAATTCTGCTTCTTGTTACACTTCTGTTCTCAAGGTAATTTGTACAAGTGAGCTCTTAGAGTTTCAAGACATATCTATGTGTGAAAGGTAAAACTTGTGAAATGCAAACACATTTCTGTTTAAGCAGGGTGCCAATCAAGGCACAAACCTGTTTGAATGAATTAGTAACAAGAAATAGATTAGCTAATCATTGAATATTAGAGTTGAAGTGGGTTTCAGAAACCATTTAGTTCAAATTGATAGACTTGAAAATAGAAGTATGAAATATAATTAATAAGTAATATGATATGATATATAATATAATATAACATAGTATAATATAATATGCTATACTATACTATGATATGAAATAGATGTATAATTCCTAGAACTGAGTATTTGTTCTTCCTTTATTGTGGCTGTTAGCTAATTTATCTTTAGCTGTGATACATATGTGTAATAGATACAAACTTTTACCTCCAAGAAAATTATTCTTCAAGAAGAATATTTTAAAACACCTACTGTTATACAACATGAATTATTATCAGAACCTAAATTTCTATCATCTTTGACAGGTAAAAGTATAATCAGAATTCACTTGAGCACTAATAATCCACTCATTTTTTCACTGAACCACATGATTCTTACAATTAAATTTCCATCTCTTCTATACAATTTCCAACAATAAGGAAAAACACAAAGGGATAGATATAAGAGGGAATAATTCTTATTGTTGTAATAAATTTTAAATTCATTTTAAAATTGCATAATTTACTTTCTGTGCATTTGAATGTTTCGTGATTTTATTAAACTTTGGAATTGTTAAATGCTTTGTGGACCAGTTTCTGACCATAAGTGATCTGTTTAGACCCTTTGTCCATTTTGACACTTACTTGTTCGACCCAGGGTTTCCACTTGGTTACTCAAGGAACCGCTGATAGATTCTACCACAATCTGGTATACTTCCCCTGCTTCTAATTTGTGAAATGTGTGTTCGTTGATACGCTTGGGGATGGTCTGTGAATCGATTTTATGGTTCTGCCGAAATGCTGTCACTGTGTACGAATCCACGTCTCCTCCACCAGGTGTCCAGTTCACTTTCAGGCTGTCTGTCATCCCATTAGGAGAAACATGTATATTTTTTACAGGACTGGGAGCTAAAGAAAAAAGAAAGATGAAAAAGAAGAAAAATGGAAAGAGATAACTTTGATAATTCACTGGGAATATTTTCAACCCAAAGTTTTTACATGTTGGTTGGCTGCCTGAGATTCTCAGGTCCATTGTAGGAACCCAAGTAGAGACAGCAGGTTTGACTGACTAAATCTGGCTTTTCTGCTTGACTTCATAATATCATAGATTTAGAGATGGAGGGGATGTTAGAGACTGCTTAGGCCAACCCCTTAATTTTAGGGATGAAGAAGTTCTAGAGAGAAATGACCAGTCCAAGGTCATAGGGATAGAGATAGGACCTGCGAATTCATTGATAAAGGGAACTTCCAGATGGGGAAACTCCCTCTTCCAATTTAGGTCTATACCTTCCCTGTAACTTATCATCTTAGTGTAGCCTAGAGCACTGAGAGGTTAAATGATTTGTCCAGGATCATACAGCCAGTATGTGTCACAGGTGGGACTCGAATCCAGGTCTTCCTGTCCCCAAGGCCAGCTCTCCATTTACATTATGTCATTATGGCTCTCCCAGGTCATGCAGGCAGTGATTGGTAGAGCTAGAGTTCCCAGACAACAGCAACAACGACAACAACTACAGGCATTTATATAGCACTCTAAAGTCTGTGGGGTTCTTTAAGCCAATTAAATCCTTTGGTCCTTGCGCCAACCCTTTGAGGCAGGTGCTGTAATTATTTCCATTTTATAGATGGGGAAATGAAGCCAGAGAGATTAAATGACTTGCTTAGGGTCACACAGTAAGTGTCTAAGAGGGCATTTGAACTCGGGTTTTCCTGACTCTCCATCCGGCTCTCCATCCACAGTTCCACCTAGACAAATACTCTCTCTATTGTGCCATGCTCCCTCTTATGTTGACAGGGAAGTTTCAGGGTAAGACCAGGCATGAAGAGTAAATGGGGGTATGGGAAAGAAGAGAGGCTCAGAGATCAGTGGCTCAAATACTTAGTTGCAAGAGTAATCACCTTCCTTTGGCCAGTTCAGGGGAATCTGGGGTGTACTGAAGGCAAGGGCAACTACCTGGAATAAACCTTTACTTCATGCAAGCAAACCTTTATTTTTAGACCTCCCAGGGCTCCATCCATTTATTCCAGACAAGTGCCAGTTTCTCTATTGTCTAGCAAGATTTGTCATGACATTCTACCCTTTGCTTGTATTATTCAGGTTGGACTACATCCTGGGAGTAGGCTGAGGACATTGTTTTCCCTACCAGGTTTCAAATTGACACTCAAAGAGAGCCTGGGGCTTTGAAAGGAGGAACTTTGAAATGAAATGGACTTTTTTAATGGCTTAGAAAGAATTTCGGCACATTTGAAAAACAACAATGACAAGGCTATCCTTTGATCAGTTATTTTCTTTTTAGAATTTCACCCTTTCCGTTTCTTTTTTAACAACATGACCGATATGGAAATATGTTTTACGTGATTGCACATATATAACCTATATCAAATTGCTTGCCATCTTAGGGAGGGGAGAGGGCAAGAGGGGAAAGGGAAGGGAGAAAATTTGGAACTCAAAAATTTTTAAAAATAAAATGAATGTTAAAAATTGTCTTTATATTTAATTAAAATACTATTAAAAGAACATACTTCACCTTGTTTTTCCATTCATTCCCTGACCTCCACTTACTTGTCCATCTTCTCTTCACAGAATCATAGAATTTTCCTCAAAGTGTCAGGCGAAGGGCAAACATCAACTCCTCTCTTTATCTGATCTCTTTTTGATTAATGCCCCTAAATACCCTCTAGCTGACCTCGACCATGATCTTGATCCTGATTCTTTTAAAATTATGTTTCCTCCATCTTCGGGTCATAGGGCACTTAGCTCTGGCTTGGGCTTTGGTGGAAATGCAGAAGTACCATGCTGATGTACGTATAGTAGGTTTATTTAAAATAAATGGTCCAACAAATTATATCGTTATCTCTCCTACATTGTGACTTTCCCCCTTGAGGTTTCAATATATCTAGGGTTGGCATAAAAAATTAAATGGGAATTTTGTGGGAGTTTTACGGAAGCCACAGATGACATATGAAGGCCTACAGATGACACAGAGCCTGTGACCAAATACTTAACCCAAATTTTACAATAAGGTACTGTAAATACCCCATAAAAGAAAAAGAAAAAATTCAGGCTTCTTCTCTGGTATAAAGGGAGAGTCAATAAATTTTACACAGATTTTCCAGATCATGGGGGCACTGTGCCCCTAACCTCTGTGATGTGGATAACTGTATTGCTAAGGAAAGCTTGTGATGGTAGGGGATTAGGACAGGATCTTAGAGTGGAAAGGGTGAGCAAACGATAGAACTTTCACCATATGTCTCTGCTCCTTCTTCGCCTCCCCACCTCTAAAACCTAGCAGCCACTAGCCTCAAGTATTTTGTTTATACCTCTACTGATGAAATCTGACCCTGAATTACCCTTTCCTCCATATGAGAGATAATATTGCATTTCACACACAGCCCAGCTTTCCTTCTAGGCTGTTAAACCATTTTACTACAGTAGTTAAATTGCCTATTTTCATATTTGCTTTATAGTCAGACAAAGTGATGCATCCCAAGTCAGGTAGCCCTCCAAGGTCATGGCACAGTTGGAGCTTGGAGTAGGATTACCAAACTTGAGATAATGCCTCTTAGTAGATGATGACATTATTAACTATTTCCATGGAAACCCCACTCAATATTGTGTTTCATGAAGGTCCTTTTAAGTTTACTGTATTGAATTCAATCTAAAGACAGAAAAGGAATTAAAAAGTGAAATTTTTCTAATTTGGGCCCTGGATTCTCAGCCCAAGTAACATCTCCTCTCCTCCTTCAAAGGTGGAATCAAGTGGCCTTAGCCATCTATTGTAATTATACTACATCTATTCTCTTGGCCTGTTCACATTGAGGAACTCTACTTTTAATTACCTGTTAAGCCCTCGATGAAGGCTGACTTTTGTGCATCTCCGCTGATTGTCAAAACGAGAATCTTGTACAGACGGCCTGGAGTTAGGGATGTGAACCGATACTCAGTTGCAGTATTTACAAGATGAAGGGAAGGAAGGACCTTCACATCATTGAAGCAAAGCTGAATCTCATACTGATCAACATCTCCGTCAGCTCGCACCCAGGTGACATGCAGCTCTTCCGTACTCCTATTACGTAGCACTAACTCCTTTACAGACTCCGGGACTGCAGAGAATGGAGAATTTCAGAATAACTCAATGAGAAATGGAAGCATTGAACTGATGGGCTTCGTGGAGGGATATAGTCACATGGATGAAACCACAGAGCTATCAAAGTATTCAAGAACCTAAAAAAAATGATCCATCATGGTATGTAGCTAGGCAGCTGGGTGACTCAGTGCACAGAATGCCTTAGAGTCAGGAAATCCTGTCTTAGATACTTTCTAGCTGTGCAACCCTGGGCAAGTCACTTAATCTCTGTTTGCCTCAGTTTCCTCATCTGTAAAGTGGGGATAATATCAGCCTACCTCCCAGAGTTGTTGTGAAGATCTAATGAGACACAATTTATAAAGTGCCTTGCAAATCTCAAAGCTCAGAAGAGATGCTAGTTGTTATTGTTATTACAAAATTTATTTAAGAATTGTATTCATAGAAGTGTAATAACAATAAGAATTGACTTTTAGAGAGGACCAGTGAAATGGTGGATAGAGAGGTAGCCTGGAGTCAAGAAGAGGTGGGTTCTGAGTACTTACTGCCTTTCACACAAGGTATGCGACTTTGGGCAAGTCCCCTAACCTCTCAGTGCCCTGGGCAACCCTCAAGGACAATCATTTACAGAACAGTTGCCATCTGCATTTGTGGTGGGTGTGTCCATACTTGGGAGTTCCCAATACCAAGGAAATTTGGTATAATTTGGTCCAAAAAGTTTTACATAGCACTTTACGTGCATTATCTCATCTGATCCACGTAGCAACCCTGCGAAGTCCATTGCACAGATGAGCGGACTGAGGCTGAGGCAAGGTGATTTGCAGTTAGTGACAAGGTGGGATTTGAAACCAGGTCTTCCTGAACCCAGGCCTAGCACTTTCTCCAACAATCCATGCTGCCTATTAAGTATGTTTGCAAAAATAAATCCAGATTCCCTCAAACTACCACTTAAAACCCCTCATGCACAATTAATCACAGCAATCTGTAAGGTGTTATTACAAATCTGCTGATTTTCATGAAAGGAGATCTTGTGCGCTTAGTTTTTAGCATCATAGAATTGTAAAACAACGCCGTCATGTCAGCTAGGCTGGAAGTTAAAGAGAAGAATATAACTGTCTGGCAGGCAGGTGCGCTCTCCCTGTGCAGCCACAGCAAGCTTCAAGGGGCTGGGCTGCTTCTGAAACTTCTGAGGCTCTAATGCCCTGGCACACAGCAGGTACTTAATGAGTGCTCGTTGGTTGTTTGTGGCTGGGGAGCCATGAGGAGAACGGGAGCCAGTCATTGGACAGTGACTGAACTGCTAAAACAGCAGAGAGATAGCAGTCAGAGAGGCAGCAGAGAGACAGCAGATAGAAAGACAGCAGACAGAGAAATAGCAGAGAGACAGCAGACAGACAGATAGCAGAGAGACAGCAGACAGACAG